CAGACAGAACTCTCAGGGCATCTCCCCCCTGTTGGGAGTGGGACACAAAACCCAACACTAGAAAACTTCCAGCCCATGGTAGGGGATTGATGAGTAAAAAGCTTTGAGATCTTTGAAGGACCAGGTGTAAAGTTGGGGGTGGTTTTTTTTTAGGGTTTAAATTTTAGGTCTCTTCTAATTTCAAAGAGATGAGGAGGCTTCAAATCCTGCCAGAGCACGGGAGCGAGGAGGAGAACACAGAAACATCTGGTTGGTGGCACACAAATCACTTCACCCACCCCTCCAAGACCTCTCCCCTCCAGCCAAACTCACCTTTCCCTTTCCCTTTCCCCTTCCCTTTATTGCCAGAACTCCGAGCGTGGTTGGGAGGATCTTCAAAACTCTTGGTTTTGGCGTTGTAAGCCTGAGGAAATTAAAAAAGGGGTTCAGGGAACTTGGACACAAAGAGTTTTCTAACTCAGGAACAGCTGAGGTGTTGCCAACACCCCATCAGAGCTCCAAACCACCACCAAATATTCATCACCTCCTTTCTCCATTGCCTCAAAGAGCTGGGACGGCCACCCAAGGCTCCAAATTTGTCCCTTCCAACTCTTGGTGACACTCAAGATTCAATCTTCCTTTGCACCTGAGATTTAATCCTCAGGGGAGGTGGCAACAAGCTACAAATCCTCCCTCAGCACCACAGCTCCGTGATGCAAAACACCCTCCAAGAAGCAGGACAGCTTGTCCTAACGTGGAGGAGTGGATGTATCTCCTCTGCTCAGCCCCCAGACCCCTCAAAACCACCATCTCCCTCACCTCTAAGAAGTAGAAACGATCGAGTCCACCAGCAGAATAATCCTGGATGCTCTGGGTCAGATCCTCCCCGTACACCACCGTACAACGGCCTTGGACAGCGCGGAAATCCACCGTCGTCTCCTCGTCGCTCCAGTACAGGAGGTTGATGTCTGCGTGGTAACTGGCTTTCATGGATTTGTGAGTGTTTTCAGGTCTGTAAGAACCAAAAACCAACCCAAACACCTCCATCAGGGAAGTGTTTCCTCAGCAAAATCCTCACTCACCTTGGTCCAGCCTCTGCTTCGTCTCTCCAAAGAGAGGAGGGATTATTTCCACCGGCCGCGCGTGTTCGCGGCACCAATGAGCTGATTTAATGGTGAAAGATGAAAGAGGGGAGGTTGAGATGGGATATTAGGAGGAAATTCTTCACTGTGAGGGTGAGGAGACACTGGAACAGGTCACCCAGAGAAGCTGTGGCTGCTTCTAGTGACCTCCCAGTACCTGAAGGGGCTCCAGGAAGGCTGGGGAGGGACTTTGGCCAAGGGCAGGGAGTGACAGGACAAGGGGTGATGGCTTGAAAGTGGCAGAGGGGAGATGGAGATGAGATGTGAGGGAGAAGTTCTTCACCATGAGGGTGGTGAGACAGTGTCCCAGGTTGTCCAGAGAAGCTGTGGCTGCTCCTCCCTGGAAGTGTTCTCGGCCAGGTTGGATGAGGCTTTGAGCAACCTGGTCTAGTGGAAGGTGTCCCTGCTGCTGGCTCATGGAACTGGATGATCTTTAAGGTCCCTTCCAACCCAAAACCATTTGATGATTCCATGATTTGTTTCATACCAAAAGGAGGTGGGTTTTTTGGTGAGTTTTCTTAAGAGGAGGGAAGAAAAATTGGCACCAGGGAATTTAAAGGCAAAGAGATTGAAAGTGAGGAGCTGGGAAGGCTCGAAACACGCGGACTTGGTGCTTCAGCACGTTCCTCTCCCAAAACTCCTCCATGGAGTGAGGGTGGTGACCAAGAGCCTGCAAATATTTGGGTCAACACCCACACCCCAGCTCATGCTCAGCACCAGATCTGAGCTCAGACCACTGCAGCATCAAACCCCTTCCAGTGACACCCACAACACTCGAAGCACTTGGTGCCAAGATTTCCCCCCAGCTCTGAAGACCTCAGGTGAGCGTTGGAACCATCTCAGATGATTCTTCACCCTTGGAACACCACCACCAACAGCTCTACTCACCTATAAAACTTGCAGATACGTAGTTTGATGTCAGCTTCGTTGGGTTTACCGTTGCTACGGATGTTGCAGAAGATCTCCTTGATGCGACCCACCCGATAAGGGTCGGGGGCGTCCAGGTTGCTGCCCTTGATGTACTCTGAATATTTACGGTAGTGCTCTGGGTGCAGCTCTTCATCCACTGCTTCTTTTTTAGGACGTTTGGCTGGGCTGGCAGGTTTCATACTGAGGAGAAGAAGAGAGAAGAAAGTTGAGGTATCATTTTCCACCCTTCAAAATCAAACCAGACCATGCACGGCTGCAAACTGAGGTGCCAACACGTTGTTGCCTCAATCCTCTCCCCCAAATTGATTTTCCATTTCTCCTCTTGTAATTAATTTCACTCTCCTTTCACTTTTCAGCTACCCAAATTCATTCTTTCAAAGCAAAACCCAACACACAAAAGGATTCTGATTGTCTGAGTGGAGAAAAGTGGCTCCATTTGACCACGGGAGGTGAAATTTGGGGCTTAGAAGGACCTTTCATTTGGAAATTAAGGAGATAAGTGCTTTGTTTACAGGTGGAATTCACTTACATCCCTCTGCTACCAAAAACAACTTGACCAAAGAACATCTTGAGAAGTTCTTCAAGCACCAACCTGAAGGAAAAAGCTTCTGGCAGGAGGTAGACACCATCTCCCACCCTGTATTGAACTCCATTCTTGGTGGCCACGGCATAAAACATCTTCCCATCTCCTTCTTCCAAAGGTTCAGCTACTTTGGGTATCTCCTTGTGCCTCACCTCATCCAAACGTGTGCAGCTCATGCAGAACCTGTAGGTAAGAAGGACAGCAGAGCGTGGTGACAGGGACCTCACCCAGCTTTGGTTTGTGGTGTTACCAGGAGCTGAGAGATGTTTTGGGCGAAGCGGATCCCGAGAGCCGCTGCCCCTCACGCGCTCACTTGTATTTGTTGTCTTCTGTAGGTTGAGTTTTAGGTGGAGATTCAAACCGAGCGTATTCCTGGTCGTACCACATCTGATAAAAATAAGTTCTCCCATCATCTTCTACCATCTTGATCTCCATATCCAGCCCGCCCTGCTAGGAGAGAAGTGTTCACAGGCATCGGTGCCGCTGTCCTCGCCGCGTCTCATCCTGGCCAGGTTGGGGTTTTGCAGGGCTGTCACCCACCTCCATGGACCAATTCTCTGAGGGTGCTTTGTAGATCACTTTGACTTTGCCATGGATGTAGGAGAGCTGCATATCCTCACACTCATCCACCAAGAAAAGCTCCAGAGGATCAGAGGTGGCTCCCAAGACGGTGTCTGAGCCGGGGCAGAACCAATGCGCGTGGAACATTTGACCACTGCTGTCCTCCCACATGGCTGTCACCCTGAAGGAGGAAGGAACCAAGGTTATGGAGCACCAGGAAAAGGCTGAGCTGCTCTGAACCTGTCAAGACTTGGTTCAGTTTTGGGTGCCACAGGATAAAAATGATCTGGAGAGTGTCCAGAGGAGGGACACAACATTGGGGAAGGGTTTAGAGGTGAAGCTGGATGAGGAGAGGCTGAAGTCACTTGGTTTGTTCAACCTGGAGAAGAAGAGACTGAGAGAAGATCTCATGGGGGTCTAGAACTTCCTCCCAAGGGGAAGAGGAGGGGCAGGCACTGATCTCTTCTCTCTGGCCACCACCCAGGGACACAACACTGGGGAAGGGTTTAGAGGTGAAGCTGGATGAGGAGAGGCTGAAGTCACTTGGTTTGTTCAGCCTGGAGAAGAAGAGACTGAGAGGAGATCTCATCAGGGTCTAGAACTTCCTCCCAAGGAAGTTCTCCCAGGTTTCTCCCACCCAACTCTTGATAGAACAAGAGGAAATAACCTCAAGTTGCACCAAGGGAGGTACAGATTGGATATTGGGAAAAAATTCTCCACTGGAAGGGTCATCAGACACCAGAACGGGCTGCTCAGGGAGGTGGTTGAGTCACCATCCCTGGAGGGATTTAAAATACAAGTAGATGAGGTGCTCAGAGAGATGGTTTAGAGGTGGACAGGTATGGTTGGACTTGATCTCAAAGGTCTTTTCCATCTTCTCTCTGGCCACCAACGAATGCCAGGAGCAGAGGGAATGGCAGGAAGATGTGGCAGGGGAGGGTGAGGTTGGCCATGAGGAAAAGGTTCTTGAGGTAGAGGGTGGTGGAGCACTGGAACAGGCTCCCCAGGGAGGTGCTGATGGCACCAAGCCTGACAAGATTCCAGCAGCATTTGGCCAAGACCCTTGGGGACATGGTCTGATTGTCCTGTGCAGGGACAGGAGTTGGATTCCATCATCCTTGTGGGTCCAACTCACAACGTTTGATGATTCTATGAACCTCACCAGAGCTGGAGAGTCCCCAAACAGCAGCAAAGCCAAGTGGGGGGAGCAATTAAGAGTTCCCCCACACGAGGAGCATCCCCTTCAGCACCAACCTGGCGAGGTAGAGTGGCTTGGTGGGATCATCAGGGCTGACAGAGACACAATCTCCCACCTCCAGGGTCTCTGAGTCAATGCAGACCCTCTGGTAATAGTCCTTCTTCCCATCGCTCTGCAGAAGTGGGGAACCCCATTAAACCCCCAGGCCAGTGGGCGACGCAGCCCGAGTAAGAGGGGAGTGGGGGGTCCTGCTCAGCCTCACCTTGATGGGTTCCCCCACCCAAGAGATTCTGCTCTTGTTCTGCTTCTTCTTCCTACCCTGTAGCATCTTCTTGGGTGATGGCATCTCAGGGATGTTATCATCTACCTCCTCATCTTCATCAGCTTCCCGAACGGCGAGGTTGGGACACCTGGGGACAACAGTGGGGACTGTCACTGCAGCAGGAGGACCACGTCCCCTCTCTTTGGAGGTGGGGAGGACTTTGTAGGAGGCATCTCTGCCCATGGAGACCCCCCTCCTCTGCAAACAAGCCTGTTTACTCCGTCCACTGCCTCCAAACTTCACCATGTTCTGACAAGCTTTGCACTTCCCACACTCAGGTTGCTGGCAGACCTGGAGCAGGAGACAAACTGAGCACCAGGAGAGATGTCCCAAGCAGGACAGACAAGGACCAAAGGGGATCTTGGTGGCTTTGGGGTAAAGGAACAACCCCAGAAGATGCCATTTAGGTGGGATGGATGGAGATC